TTTTTTATCAGAAAGCTTTGCATGATAAATAAGTTGAGTTAAATAAATTGTGGTTTTTTATTATTATCTGTTTTCCTGAAATATCTTTTTTGTTCGTAATAATTTTGCAATCACTTTGGATGTGCTAAGAAAGGCGCTTTCTGCAAACATCTTTCTCTATTTCTTTACCTGCATTATTTGACTTATATATTAATTATGTTTTATACAAAAGTCTGTGCTAATTCAACGTAAAATCAACCGGAAACTCGCATCTTTAAAATCGTATTTTATTTGGTAGCGGCAACTTTCTGAATATCAGGCTTAAACTAATTAGACATATAAAATGATGCAATTTGTTATTAGGCGATGAAATGTTAATTAGAGCTTTGTTTGCTCCAATTTCAACACCAGTACAATTTTCAATTAAACGTTCATCAATCTGGCGGAGCTGAAAATTACTTTTAATGCCGTTTTATTTAATATTATTCCCGAATCTTGTTGTGCAGGAAACTAAGTTTTTTGAGCTGTTTCAGCCTGCAGAAAATCTATATTTTCTAAAACCAAACTTCGAAAATCGACACATTTAAATCTATTTGCTTTTATAAGCTAATTACTCAAACCATTCTGGACCCCTTTCTCTTTCTCATATCCCAGTTACTCTACTACTAGATTTATTCGTTGTTTTATTGGTTTTTTCACTTATCACGTATTAGTCTACAAGAATAAGCGTCATTAATAATTAATAACAACAACGAGAATTTCTCGTAATAAAATGTATGTTTTATCCTAAGACATGCTGCAGAATGATTGAAAGCTGAATGGGTTGGACATTTTCTCCGCAACAAAGATTTCTGCTGAACCATTCGGAAAGTTGCATTTTACCTGAATAAGCAAATTTACTTTTTTGCCTAAATCGCTTTGTTTTTGCAACAGTGTTTTTGGAAATCATTATTTTAACACCGATGATTGATGAGCTCATTTATCATAAACTTGTGGTTTCAAGATAGTAATTACGTTGCAATCAAAGTAACTATTCTGGAATTAAAATACCATTTATAAATAGGAACGTTGCTTTCATTCATCACAGTTATGTAAAACCTCTCTAATTTCTAGTGTCGGTTCTTTTACAATGTATGAAAGTCGCAACATCATTGCCTTGATAGGTAGGTACTAACGTTTAAAAAGCCTGTGCCATTAAAAATCAGAAACGTACATTTAATAATGTACCTTAACGGTAAATTTTCATA